ATATATATATATATAATGTGCTAATCTTTTCGTTTGGCCTTTCGGTGCCAATTGCGACATTATTAGAACATATTCGTGAAACAAAAAATGCAACTGATTTCTCTCGCACAGGCTTGATCGTTCCCCTCCCATGGCGGCGCCAGCGTCGGAGGTGATCCCGGTGGTGGACCTCCGCCTACTCTCCCAGGTGGAGATCAACTCCCTCTCCCTCTCATGTCCCAACGCCTTTGACCTCCGCCGCTGCGACGACGTCGTCGTCCCCAAAATCGACCGCTCTGTCTTCAATGAGAGTGCCGGAAGCCGCAAGCAGACCTACTCACGCCTCCGCCTCGGCCCCCACAAGCCCGACCCCGCCGCCCCCTCCACCGTCGCCAGCCGCCGCCCCCGAGGCCTCTTTTCCCCGTCCCCTTCCTCCTCCTCCGCCGCCGTCCCCATCGATTCATCTCTCCCCCAAGCTAGCAACGCTAACGATGACGATCCTGGTCGCCGCGAGAACCTCCAGATCGTTTTCTACCTCCGCCAGCTCTTCGCTCGGGAGGAGAACGCTTCCCAAACCCTAAACATATCTTACTCCACCCCAGCCCAGGCAATTCCTAATCAAACAAATGGAAACGGCCTGCAGGAGCCTGGGAGGGCGGAGTTGGCATTGGTTGTGGTTGAGGATGGGGATCGGGAGGTCTTGAATAGAAATGGTCAGACTGTCGATCTAATTGCATTAGGGCAGAAGGTGGATCCATTTTCCGAGGAGCTTAGGCGGAGGACGGTAGGGTTGACGACGGAGGAACAGCTTCTGAGCTTCATGAGTGGATTGGATGGTCAGTGGGCAAGCCGGAGGCGGAGGAGGAGGATCGTGGATGCTTCGGGGTTTGGGGATCACTTGCCAAGAGGATGGAAGCTGCTGCTTGGTCTCAAGAGGAAGGACGGTGATGTTTGGGTGTATTGCCGGCGATACATTAGGTTTGCCTCCTCACTTTACCTTCTTTGTTTGTTCCCTGTGGAAAACCATGGAGATGAATGATTTAAGTAATTACTTGTGAAATATACTTATCGTTGGGTATCATTTGCTTATGGCAACCAAATTATGTCATTGGATGATGCCTTTGCGGATCAGATTTTGCAAAAAAAGATTTGCTGTATCAGAGTGAGATACATATGTATTTTTAACTTGATAATTTGTAATGCAAAAATGCTTTGCAATGTTTGTATGAGGTTGTCTAAACATGAAACTTGATGAAAGTGTTTGAACATCTTTTTAATGGTGGGGGTGGGGGGATGAAGAATGCAAAAGGCACTTTAATAACTTATGATGAATGTCAAGGTAGTGGGATAAGAACTGGTGATTATACAAAGTTATATGACTTTTGATTCTATATCCACAACGAAAATTTCTTGCAGTGACCCTAAGAAACTTATTTATAGGGGTTTGAAAAGCAGTTGATTATAATTGCCTTTCCTGCAGCTTAAATTGATTTTCTTCAACTCATTTGAAGAATCACATTGGTCTACATTGGCCAACCATAGAAATCAGCTTGGATAGGCCATCTAAATGTTATCCCTTTCTCCTCTTGGCCCTTGTTTTGCCATATACTATGTATATTTAGCGCAAATTGGTAGAAAATTGAGGAAGAGCACAAAGAATTCAAGAGAAAACAAGTAGCATATAGCCGTTATCATTAGTGGTTTACAAAGATGCCTTAACGTAATAAACTAGTCTGGTTAATGTTGTGGTACATATATAAATATTAACATAAATTTCTTCTAGTCATTTATAAAAGTACAGCTTGGGGATCATGGCCTAAATCTACATAACAAGTTATTTTATTTCTGCATAAGAATTGTTGTGCTTCTGGACTGTTAATGTCAGTTGTGAGAAAAAAAGAGAAACTTGCCTTGAATTTCCTATCAAGCTTTTTTTAGTCATTTGACTACACCGAAAGAATCTTGCGTTATAACCTTTTTCATATTAGATATGAACTTTAGCTTACTCTGCTAGCATTTTGTCAATTGGTTGCACATGTAGAAAATGGATGAATATCTCTCCTGCAGGGTTCATGTGCTTATTATATTTGTTCTGTATGTTTTGTCATTTACCAATAAGTTTATGATGTTGATTGGGTACAATGGTAACACATAACCTATTGGCTTTAGCTCCATAGCATTCATGCAGTATTTATAGTTTTGCACTTCTTTGTTTCCCAGCCCATGTGGAAAACATTTTGTTTCCTGCAAAGAGGTATCTTCATATATACTCGCTCTTCTTGGGGATCCAAATGCTCTGCTACTAGCTCCTATTGAGAATAATGCAAGTACACCAAGGATCGAAAAGTTAAATACTGACTATGTAAGTGTGATATGGACATCTAATTAAATTGTGTTTGTGCATCTACTCGTATTTGATAATAGGATATGGAACAGGCTGCAGGTCCTTCTGTTCAAGATAATTATGCAAATGACGTACCTAGTTGCTCTACAGTTGTATCTTTCTCCCCTTCACCTGCTGACTGTGAGAAGCAAATTGTGTTGTATAATTCTGAGAACCAGGTATGGGCTGAAATCCTTGAACTTCTGTAGTGTTACTGTGTTACAAATCAAATGTTGCTGGTGATAAGCATGTTAAAATGCAGCAACAGTTGTCGTCCCAGCAAAGGAGTGCAAAGCGACGGAAACTTGGTAAATTAATTGATGAATGTGTCATGGTAAAAGATGGAAACTTTGAATGCCAATTTTGTCACAAGATGTTTACTGAAAGAGATTGCTACAATGGCCATGTTGGAGTTCATGCGAGGTGTCAAGGTCCGACTTCTGAAGCACTACCAGATGAGGTTGGCTCAAGAGAACTCTACAACCCAGCTCCATTAGCTGCAGTACCGTATGAGCTCTCTCTGGCTGAAATAAAGGAGGAGAATTCTACCCTAAAATCTGTTGCTGAACTTCATCTTGCTTCTACAAGTTTGCAGCATTCAAGGGCAAATCATGAAACTGATCATGATTGGATGGGAACTTTAACTACTAAAATACCCTTTAGAAGCAAAATTGTTGATGTCCTTGTTAATCATCGCAGTGTTGATCATTGCAATCCTAAAGAGACTGCTCATGCTAGCAATATCACAGATGAACAATTTAGTTCATGCACAAGCAGTGTGGATGCTGTAGTGCTACCTGTTGTTAATGTTACTCATGTGAAGATTGCTCAAGAAACCTCTACGACATCTGCTGATGATCAGGTTGATAATTGTTTTCACAAACCTAAAGAAACTACTGAGGCTAGCAATGTTAAAAACATCAAAGTCAGTGATGCCAAGAAAGGTGAAGCTACTGAGTTCAAGAATGTCGATACAAGGAATTCCAAGAACATTGAGCCTAATAGTGTCCAGGTTGATTATCATGGTACCAATGGTTATAACTCTGAAATAGTTCGTAATACTGCCAAAGACGTCCATTGTAGCCCATGCTTGGATATGACATCTATTGCACCTCTTGATATGACTAACACACCCTGTGGAATGGGTACTGAAGTGGAAGAAATTTTCCCCAAAAGCATGTCCATTGAATGCACCATTAGTGATTGTAATGTGACTGGCTATGAACCCGATGAAATTGTTGAGACTAATAACAGCCTGAGCATACATGCCAATGATTCCATCAAGTCAATCTCCACAGCTTTCATCAATATGGATAATGTTGTCCTTGAAAATTCTAATGAGCTAGATGGATCTTCTTGTGCGGCCATTTCAGAGATTGAAAATAATGACATAGAGCAGAAGTTAGACCCAGAAAACCATTTGATTAATCTGTCAGGTAATAATTCCAGTTATGTCATTGGAATTGGTGTTGATGATACTTTTACTAGCAACATGGAAGAGAATGTCCTTGTCGAAATGGATAAATCTAGCAGAAAAATTGACTTGGCCAGTTCTGGTTCATTTTGTAGTGAAGATATTGTTTCTGAAAGCATTCTATCCATGCAACTCAATGCCAATTGTATCAATTTACCATATGTTGGTGGACACACTAGCGGTGCTGAAAGAAACAGAGACTGTATGTTTGATATCGACATGAACGAATCTGTGCTTGGTAAGATGAATGTACCTGGTGTTGAGCTGCATAGGTGTTTTAATGGCTCAAGTGATGGAGATGAAGGGGTAGTTACATGTGATGCTGCTCAGGGTACCAAAGGAAATTCTTTGGAGGTTGATGTCAATCTCGGTTCTCCGTGGCTACCTTCTTCTGATATCCCTATTGTTGGTATGATCCCTGATCAGGTAAAAATTGCTATCAAGTCTATGTGATGGTACTTACCTAGAGTGGAATAAGCAGCCTTAGAAGAAAGGAACTTACTTGGCTCTTGCTGTGCTCTATTTACCAGAGTTTACATTTAATTATGTATCTGCAAGATCCTGGAACTTTGTACTGTTCTTTCAAAACCACATCATTGTACTTAATGTTGAATGTGGCTTTTACCATCATTCAATATATTCTTTAGGTTAGATTATTGGCATACTTAGAATAGAACACCAACACAAATGCTATGAACAAATTGAGAAAGATTTAGGTTGGCTCAGAAGCAAGATAGAAGAAGCTCTCTTAACTAAAGTCATGAGATGACTTACCTTCCCATTCTGACCATGTTTTTAAGAAATTCAATAAGTAGCAGAGAATTAAATGTTAGAAATCATTAATCATGCACTTCTGTATGCAATGTTCTGTCCTATGTTGCATTGCCATTATGACACTGTGTTCAACTTGGAATCCTGCATATATCACATGATTCACGCGTCTCTTGTTTGCTGCTAGTATTTCAGAATAAGGTAAGGGGAGTGCTATCCATAATTTGCATATAGTAGTTATTTTCCAATTTAATATATTCAACTGTTGAATCACGTCTTGGTATTTGTGGGGCTCATCACGACCTGATCGAATTGATTATCTGTCCTAAGGATGATTTTTTAACAGTTGAGGTGACCTATGCGACTTCTTGGATATGTTAGTATATGTTGTTCTCAATGGTCAGCGACTGATGTTCATAGAAGTTCTGTCCTCTTTCATAAGCACAAGTGTTTAATCAAAACAGAATAGTAAAATTATAAAAATCATGTTCTCCACTTGCCGCCTTGTCTTTACTTCTCTGTCATCTATAGCTTTTCTATTGTTCTATTTATATAGAGACGTGCCATTTTTGCAGCAGTATGAAGACAATGCCATCGCTGTTAGCCAGAAGGATAAGCTGTCTGGTTTTGATCAGCTGACATTGGATGCAGTTGAATCTTCTGAGTATGTTCAATTGAATGGTCAAGATTCTATCTCCGTATGTGAGCCAACCATTGGATTGAGTTACGTGACCGAACTCGACAACGAGAGTGTTCAGTTAGGGTGGAATATTTCGTTGCAGAGCAACGCATTCGAGCTGACATCTGTTTGTGTGTGGTGCAGCAGAGAATTCAGCCACGTTGCTACGAATGCCGAAGAAGAATCTGATACGCTTGGCTTCATTTGTCCTGCATGCAAAGCGAAAATTTCAGGTCATCTCAGTGTTCTGAGCAACAGTTCATCTGGCTAACAGATATGAATACTGACTTCCTTACCAGAAGAGCAGAGCAAAGCAAAGCAAAGTTACTGTCCTTCTTTTCACCGACTATGATCGAAAAGCCAGTACAAGTGATCTATTGTAATGTACCCCATGTCTTGATCTAGGTAGGTTCCTTACAAGAACATCTACGGTGTTAGTCATTTTTTCGGAAATGGTAAAAAAGAACAGATTATATTTTCAAATCTGGTTCACTATTTTGCCAGTTGAATTAGAAGCTCATATGTTCACCATATGTCCTGTTATATGTTATAGAATCTTGATGTCCGTGGTAGGTTTTAAGAGCTTTTCAGCTTATATGGAAATGTTTTGATGTCTGCTATGGTAATAAAGGGCCCCGTGGGGTTATGACAGCGGAGATACGCCTGCATAATCGAATCGAGTGACTGTTGTCATATCATAGTGTATTATTTATTCATCAAATAGGACTACAATATCTCATGTTAGCAGACTTAACAAATTCAGAGGGAATCCTTGTCGATTCTTCTTGGATTTGGAATGGGTGATCTGCTCTCAAATCCAACGGTAAATAGTGTTGCATCATTTCAACATTTCCACAAACTTCATACTAGGAATTTATTATGGTGTTGATGATTTGATCAGCTTTATCCACGAGCCGAATCAGAATCAGAAATGCAAAGGTTGAGAAGTAGAAGATGTCAATTATAAAGATTTTGATAGTTTCTAATAAGATCTTAATTTAAATTCTATCTTCATCATTTATTCTTTCATAATAATAATAATAATAATAATGATGATGATGATTACAGAAAGAACAAAGGAGTGAAGGCTTGCCGCAGTCATTAACACTCGATCACATCCAAATATACTCCACAAGCTTAAATGTAATCAGATAACCTTCCAACTCTTTCTGGGTTGGCATTAGTTGTTGCAGCATTCTCCTTATAAGGAGATCACCGAGTGCAACAATTACAGTTTTCATCTGCTTCATCAGATTTCCCAAACGGAAAAGTCATCCTCCCACGGTCAGAAGTAATCACAAGTCAGCTGCAGCAATTTGGATTAATGGAGTTGCCTGCTGAATTTGGCAAAAGGAGGTGCAAAATGTTGGACATCAAACTGGTGGAACATAGAAGCTTGATCAAGGATTCAGGTTTATCTCATCAAAATGGCTAATAACTTTGCCATTGAGATCGTTCCCGTCTGTCGGTCTGCATCACACGAGTAGAAAATGCGAGAGAAACGTTAGTAGAGGTTTACTTGGAAACTTGCGAATCATGATTAATATGTTAATTCTTTTGTTGCCAAAAGATCAAACTACTTCCAAGTTTCAAATAACGAAAAAAGAGTGCTTGCACTGTCAGATTACAAAAGTGATCTTTCGATGCATTGCAGATGCTCCTATGTATTTCTCAGGCACCATCAGAAACAACTCTAAATTTTAATCAATGAAGACAGCAGATTGCTTACAGAAGTGGAAAGACCTGATGTATCCTATTTGTGGATAGTTTTCCATAACATAGCTTATATATTCTGTGTCCATTTGATGGAATCATACCCTACATGCTGAGAAGACTAGAATATCCTTCTCAAATTTTACCACCTGTAGGTCTAAGCTATCTGTGCTCCATCGACTCCCACGACAGATTATCCTCCGTAAGCTTCAGACTTCTAGAGAGTGGAACATGAACTTCTTGAGATTTATATGAACAATATAAATGTGATGCCTTATCAAATAAATCAAATATTGTCAAACGCCGAGCATGTCACCATGTATGAAAAATTTAATATGGAGCAAAGTGGGCACCAGAAAACTAATATGTATAGCAGGAGGTGCAAATGTTTATCAAAGAGTTTGCAATATCCTTTTACCAGATATGTGAATTACATGCTCACGAACAATCTAAATAGGGAAAGCGAAGGCCTAAATAAAACATCTTGATTCTTGAAGTAAATGATTTGACTTCTGTTGCAAAGAGCTTGCTCGTAACATATTTGAGACAGAGCCGTCAGCAAAGCAAAATGATGGTTTTATTCAAAACACTAAACAAAATTATGCATGGAAAATGGTTGGCAAAGTAAATTATCAAGTATCTACCTGAGCTTGCTGGACGATTATCATTCAGCCATATTAATCAGCCTCAGCAGCGGTATCATTACTAACAACCTGCATTGACAACAATTACGAAAAACAAACTGGTAAGCAGATGTTGTTTAAACTGTTAATTCCAAAATAATGTTTATACATTACAATAGTTGCCTTTCAAAAACACCACCAAATTAGTTATTCATGATAAGCTCGAAGAATTTATGGTTCCAAATTTCTGTACCTGGCCAATGTAATCTTTTAACTTTTCTGCAATAGATTCATCCAAAGCTCTTTCTGCAAGTTCATACATGATGATATTGCCTTCAGGACCATTAACTTTCTCCTTTTGCAGGTACCTACAAGGAAGCATGACCAAAAGATAGAAATGCGAGGATGAAAAGTGTAGTGTTGTATGGAATGGATAGAATTATTTTATGCCTTTACCTTTGATGTACAAGCATCTCAAGTGTTTGCTTAGTGTTACCAAAGACAGCATTGTTTTCATCACTCTCGTTTAAACCCAGCCTCCTCAAATGATGCCAGAGATTCTCTATGACGGTTTAGAAGAGATCAGCTAACAGGAATACGGAAAAAAAATCACATTGGAATAGAATTTTAGCATAATATACCTTCCGAGATTTTACCTCCTGCGAGATGTACGATGCTGATGACGACAAAAGTGAAACCAGTCATGTGTGAAGTCTTTTTATCCTCAATATATTTAGTATAAATATCAGCTGGCAGCTGACTCAAAACAATATATGATTTTGCTTCAACGGCACCTATAAATATTGCATACGTTAGCTGTCTAAAAGAGGAGTACAAAGACAGCATTCCTGAATTAGGTCTAAAGGATATAAAATTATTCATATAAAAAACCAACGAATTCCTAGCTTGGTAAATGGTTGCTTATTTTTCACCTTGGGGAAGTCCTGATTAGAATCCTTGTGAAGGTGATGTCCAGTTATTTTGACCTAAATAATTCTCCCATAGTTTAGTCTATGTGAAGGTGGTGACCACCTAGGGATTTCTTGACTAGACATCTGAATACATTTGGCATTGTATGATATCATCATTCAGCAAGACTTGCAACATGCACGAGATAATAGCATACTTCGACACATTTAAGGCTACAAATGAAACGAAGTCTAACAGGACACAAAACAGAAGATATTAGAAACATAAAAGGAAACGCACTTTGTTGAGGAGCACGGCCCTGCTTGTTCGAGGCAGGACGGGAACGCTGCAATTCTTTCATCTCATACCCAAAAATGTTTGAGATTTTTTCTCTGGCTTCGTTTATGACAAGGGCCGGAAGGGAGCGCTGACGGTAATTTTTTGTTATTAGTTGTGTCAATTCTTCCCTCTTTATAGGGCATCCAGAGTTTTGGTGAGTCTTGAAAAGTACAAAGCGGATCACTTCTCCAACCAACTTGTCTTTTTCCTGTCGCAAAATGCATTATCAGTAGCTTGCCATAGGCCTCTTAGAACAAGGAAGAAACATGTACGTAAAGGAGCGATCTCTCGGGTACCTCTCGAGACACACCAATCTGTGAGTATTCCTCATTGTATGTTGCCATCCTGTAGTTAAAAAACATTGATTTAGAAGAAGCTAAAAAACCAAAATATTTTCTTTTCTTTTTTCTATAAATTAAAGTACAGAAAAAGCCTCTCTGTTTGGAATGGTAAGGCTGCTGCGTATACTGTTCCGCTCTTCTTTGCTTTCATGAACTTCGATTGATAGTTACATGGTTAAGCACTCATTTCATCTAACCAGTCTTTCAACCGCCGTCGCTATGTCGGGATCGGAATTATACAAACACAAGGATTTCGAACCAGGAACATGTAATTCTACTTAAAATGGAAAAAAATAGGAAAACAAAAGAAGAAATCAAGCAGAAAAATGCATGGATGGAAATATAGCAGTGGCCATTCACATGGTTTGATGAAAAGAAGAAAAGAGCACAAGTCCAACATTAATGAATAACACGAAGTGAAATCACAGACTATAACTATGCCTTAGATCAAGCATCTTAAGCTTTTACTGTTTTAGAAGTCACAAGAGGGCTCATAAAGTGCCTAAAAGAGAGAGAAGAGGAAGGGGCGGTGGACGAAGAAGAGGGGAGCTAAAGAGGAGGAGAAGGAAGAAGGAAGAAAGAAGAAGAGGAGGAGAAGAATACCTGGGAAGAAGAAGAAGAAGCAGCAACGCGGCGGCGGCAGAACGCGAGAAGAGCGCGAGCCCTAATTTCTATTTTAGGATTTCTTTTTTTCTTTTTCGAGTGCCTAATTTTTTGTTTAAATGCGAGCCTTAATTTCTATTTCAAGATTTTTTTTCTTTTCCTAATGCCTAAATTCTAATTTATTCAAACACGAAACAGGTGGAAGAAAAAGAGAGAGGAGAGGAGACGAAGAGCGGCGGCAACAGCTACGGCTCCAACTCGTTGTTGTGGATCTCTCGACGTGTGTGTGGCCACACGCTCGACGATATCTGAGAAGGTCAGAAATGGTTACCGCACTTCGACGATCAAACAACTCCACTCCATTTAGTCAACGGATATTCCACAAAAGTCAACGCATGAATGTTGATAGGGGATCACATGGTTTTTTTTCTTTTCCTAATGCCTAAATTCTAATTTATTCAAACACGAAACAGGTGGGAGAAAAAGAGGGAGGAGAGGAGACGAAGAGCAGAGGCAACAGCTACGGCTCCAACTCGTCGTTGTGGATCTCTCGTCGTTGTGGTTACCGCACTTCGACGATCAAACAACTCCACTCCATTTAGTCAACGGATATTCCACAAAAGTCAACGCATGAATGTTGATATTCCATGAATGTTGATAGGGATCACTTGGTTTCGGAGCCAAAGGCTCCAAGAGGCACTTCTCAACTGATGTGGGACTAAGTTGGCCTATCAGGTGACCCTCCCCTCGCAGGGAGCCAAGGGCTCAAAGGGGGTTTGGGCCACTCGATCCCCACGGTGGGCGCTAATCTAATAGGGGACCACTTGGTTTATCTCGGTGTATCTTGGAGGTGCGAGGGATTATCCGCTTTGGATGAGTGCGATTGAACCCGTACAGCTTTATTATTTCGGAGCCACAAAGCTCCAAAAAGTACCTCTAAGGGTAAGGGAGACACGGCTGCCTTATGAGCCCTTGGTTCCCTCACTCATCAATCGATGTGGGACTCAGTTGACCCTATAAAATGTAACAATATTTAGTTTATAACGTGCTTTCTTGTCCTCGAAAACTCTAACCAAATGAGTAAAAGGAGATATTTATTCAGTAAATATATGCTTTTTGAGTGTTTTAATAAGTACAGTAATAAAATTTGGGACGATTTAAAAGATCTTTGTATACTTTAATTCAAAAAATACTCAAATGGTCCCTTAAAAAAAAAAGGTAATGATTGTTTTCTATTTTGATCATCAAAAAATAAAAATTATAAAACCTACTTGAAAATATAGTAAATAAATTAAATAAAATTAAAATATATTATAAATTATTTAAATAAATATTTATAATAGTTTAGAAATAATTTTATCAAAATAAAAATAAAGAATTAGCTTGTTATAATGATTTGAACATCCTCAAATAGATACCTAACTTCAATCAAACCAACTATAAATCTATAAATATAATATCATAATAATATAATGTTTTTCATGATATTTTTAATATTTTTAATACCTCAATAAAGATACTATAAATATTATTAATTGAAAATTTGATGAGAGGTATTTTAGATTTCTTTTTTAAATTACTGACACTGTTTGAGAAAACAAAAAGGGATACTCTTTTGGAAGAAACTCAAAAGGAGCATCTTTTCTAGGAAAATCATCTTAAAATTTTTAAGACTTGATAGATTAGAATATATTATAATTGATAAGTATTTTAAGATTCCTAAAGTCAAATGTCTCAATGGATAAGAAATAAAAATATAAGAAAAAAATTCTCGCGAAGAAAAGAAATCCTGACAATTAGGATTGGGTGCTTTTGGGTTTTACTTAGAAAAAGTACTCACTAAGATTTATAGAAATGGTATTCTCTACGATTTCTAGAAGAAATAAAAAATTAATATAAATTCTTTAGGATTAATACAAAAATCTATGCTTGAGTGGGGATAATTTAGTATTATAATTGATCTCGAAGGATTTAGTTTCTAAGCAAGATTTATCGAATCATATTAATCTTACGTAGATATGCTAATGATTATTGATCTCTAAATATTTTTTTATTTAGGAGGAATTCACAGTCTTTTATTTAGGATTGAAAAGACTTCGTAAATTCATGAATCTGTCCGCAATACAAAGAGCAATACTTGTTCTTCACTTGGAAGAATCAAAGAAGAAACATTTGTCGTCGTTCAATTCTGGCACAAGATTCTAGCAACCTGAAAACTTGTATAAGATCATTCTGACCTATAATACCAAATTAAATTGTACTTTCATCCATTGTTTATGTTCTTTGTGACAGGACGAATATAATTGCTGTGCTTTCTTCTGTGTGTTTCTCATTGGATGTCTGATGCATGTAAATGAACGACTCTACGAAGTGAAGATGAAAAGAAATTAAAGATCGGTCAATTGAGGCTATTTATGCACTGAGACTTCATGTCTGGACTCGAAATCGTAATCTCTGTAGATATCATTCCGTTCCAATACAAAACGCAGCTCGAAAAAATGGATCTACAACACAAGCAACGGATATCTGCAGTCTCCTTCCTCCGAAACCATGCATGCCGCTGACGAAAACACTGGGAAAGCAGCAGTGGGAGTCTCGAGCGCCACACAGGGAAAAAAGGAGGAGTGTCTTCGTGATACGATCGATCTACGTTCTCCCACAGTCCTCGATCTGCATATGCTGGAACGAGCGGATCGCCATGGCGGCCACCGCCTTCGCCCAAGCCACCAGCTCCTTCTTCATCCTCTCCTCGTCGTTCCAAGCCGACAGGTCGATAGGCCGGCCTACTTTGGCACCCGGGACCAACATCAACGTCGTCGCCTCTCCCTCTCCCTCTCCCTGCTGCCGTGCGGCTTGCGGAACGAGTTGAGGTCCCAAAGCCATCTCTGGTTTCGGCCGTAGCAGCTCGACGTGTCCTGTGATGTCGACGGCCTCGGAGACAGTACGTACATATATGGTGGGCAGCAGAACGGGAGAACGAGGAACACGTTGGTATAAGATAATAGCAAGGCTGGTGGTGCGTCAAAGGAACCGTGTGTGGACATCACCAGTGTCTTGTATGCTGTGGGTTGCAGTGGGTAAGTAGACCTCGTTTGCACATGAGAACACAAAGGGAGAGGGAAGAAGGCAATTCCCAGGCACGTATTGACATTGGGAATGACTTTAAGCACTCGTTGACTTGGATTATGCATGATGTGTTTTCCTGTTGTAATGATATTATGATGATACTGTTTTTTGATTTGAGAGAAGTCAACGATGGTATGCAATGACAGTTCCCACGTGATTCGATGTTGGTGTTAAAAATACATTAAGGAGAGAGATTAGATGCAAACAGAAGGACACTATTATGTAAGAGATGAGGTCATGCAATGAGCATGGCAGTGTATGATTGACCAGATGTGATGTGATGGGCATGAAATGCAGCAGATATCAATCAGGTCACATATCCTTCTTTTTGTCTCAAACCTATTTGCTGCATTTCTTTTGCTTATTTTATCTGACAAACTATAAAAGTTATGTATATTATAAATCTAGAAATGAACTCAAATGAAGATGCAAAATATCTTTTACTTCAGAATTGCCAAATAAAATGGAAATCCATATTATTCATTTTGAAAAATGCAACAAAAAAAAATACATAATTAAAAGTCTCCATTCTCTCTCAACCACCAACAAATTTGTAGCTGGAAAAAGGGCCACAAGCTGAATGAAGTAGCTACCTACTCATACCCAGCTGGCTCCATCAGGTGCCTTATCATGCTTAACCAGTTCACATGTTGGGATCAATGACTGACGATACCAAACGTGGAATTGTCACATCAACCCAGAAATTGTATCATCGATCGATGAGAAAGCAGAATATTTTTGGTCTTTAATGGAATTGCCAATGATTTTATGTCTTTGTCTTTGTATATATACAACAATTTAATTGTAAGGGTATTATAAATCATGAAATTTTGAGAGCATATGACTTCTTTTCTTAAAAAAAAAACAAAAAGAACAGATCTCCATCAAAGAATTGTCTCCTGTTATATAATTAATGGTTCACATTAAAATAAAAAACCAAGAAGTTGGAATAAACTACACCGTATGTTCCTGTTTCGATGCCTCAGCTTAGAAACACTGTATGTGAGTGAAAAAGAAGACGTTATGGGGCATGAAAAGACGAAAAGGAAAGGATAATTTGAGAACAAGGCAAAATGTTTCACCAAAAAAATCACTTAAATTCTCTAATTTAGGTCGAGGAGGTCAACGCCAATTGAAATGCATACTAAAGGAAGTTTGTTTTAGGGAAAAATAATAATTCAACATCTAAAACAATTTGTTGTCATCATTTGCTTATCAGCTCCGTCCCAGTGTCGTACAAGCAATGACCCGAGCAAAGTTTGCTAGTTGAAGGTAGGCCTCGAACATTATATATACAGATTCCTTACCCCCCTCATCCTTGAGTCATGAACGCTTTTACAAGCTTTCAACATGGACTTTGCCTCCCTGCTATTACCCTGGAGATAGAAACTCTCTGAAAAATCAAGCAAAAAATCATTAAATTCTTCCACCATGTAAATCCTGGAGCTACTCGGTGCATATAGTGGGAGAATTGCACTTTCTGTTTATAAAATGATCCCCAAAGTTGTTATCAGCCATGTAAATTTTAATTTATTCTTAAACAAAAGGACTGTATGCTTCCACCATCCACTGTACACTGCACCCATCCAAAGTATGACATCTTCTCATTCGTCTCACAGAAGCCCAAGAGCTTCTGATCGTGTTACATGGAGTATGTATGAATTTGGAAGAGGTGACAAGAAGGAATAAAGGCCAGAAGTAACGAGCAAGGTTTTTTTAGCTCTTTCCACCAAGACTCTCATAGAATAAGATGTACCCGTTATCTGTGTTGCCTGAATACTCCTGAGAGGAACCAAAGAATGTCTGCACCATCGATTCATCGATCAT